ATATCTCCCAGCTCAAGACTTCCCTGTGAAGGGCAAGATTTTATACTTCTTGAGCCAAAGCCGAAATGATTTAAAGACTTCTTAAAATTAAAAAAAAGCCAAGAAATTAAGAAAAGTAAACTCATTTCATCACAGAAGTTAAACTTTTGAAAGTGGCCAAAACCAGTTTGGCTCAGTGGATGGAGCGTCGGCCTGCGGACTGAAAGGTCCCAGGTTCAATTCCGGTCAAGGGCATGTACCTGGGTTGTGCGCACTTCCCCAGTGGGGGATGTGCAGGAGGCGGCTGATCGGTGTTTCTCTCTCATCGATGTTTCTAACTCCTTATCTCTCTCCTTTCCTCTCTGTAAAAAATCAATAAAATATATTTAAAAAAAAAAACTTTTGAAAGTGCATTTATGTCCCACTCATTGGTGGATGTGAAATCCTATATAATAAAAGCCTAACATGCAAATTGTCCAATGGGGAGTTTGGGAGTTCGCTATGACATGTGCTGACCACCAGGGGGTGGCACGGAACATGGTGGGTATCAGCAATGCAGTGCTGGCAGTGGGCAGCAGGAGAGGTGCTGCTGGCCCTGATGGGCCCCGATGCTAGCAGGACTGCGGCAGGATGGTGGAGCGGGGGAGCGGGCGGCGCCAGGCCTCGCAGATGGTGACCAGCAGTGGCGGCGGGGGGTGGGAGCCGGGCAGCGGGGGGGCCTGGCCCTGATTGATCGTCCCACAAGTGGGATGGTGGAGCAAGTGAGGGGGCAATGCCAGGCCAAGGCAGGGTGCCAGGCAGGGCTGCAGGGCTGTGAGGCTGGGAGCACGAGCTGGGGCTCGATTCCCATAAGCCACCCCTAAGGGCCCCACCCATGCACGAATTCGTGCACTGGGCCTCTAGTATTTAAAAAAAACTCTAAGTTACAGTAATCAGAGAGTATGTCTAGGAGTATTTTGTGTTCAAATATCATTATAGTGGAGATCCATTTTCAGGATAGATCAGTTCTGAAAGTATCTCTTCACCCAAAGGAACTACATTTAACATTGATTTGCCATAGGAGGCAGGGTATAGGGCTCTCAGATTTCAGGAAGAGAGAGAGGGAGCCAAGGTGAAGTCTGACAGCAAAGGTATGCATTAAAGAAGTAGTGCCCTGACCGGTTTTTGTTTCAGTTCTTGGTCAGGGTATATGCCTGGGTTGCAGGCTCAATCCCTGGTGGAGAGTAAGCAGGAAATGGCCAATCAATGTTCTGCTCTTGCATCAATGTTTCTCTCCTTCTCCCTTCCTCTCTCTCTCAAAAAAAAAAAATCTTTCAAAAAAAGTAGTGACTAATTAATTACAACTGGTAAATGATTCTATCAAAGTTTAGTTTCACAACCAGAAAAAAAACCAACCTGTATATTCCACAGAGTACTAAGGGTTCCAAATCAAAGCAGTTTATCTCAGGGTAAGTGAAAAACAATAATATGGGATTTTTAGAAGAGGATCAGAAAATTTGGGACAATCTCAGAAAAGAAGTATCTGAACTAAACCAGACCACAGTTGGCCAAGGATTTTCCCCAATTCTTCATAAATGGGAACTATAAATTAGAAGTCTGTTATATATTCCTTAGAGTCATAAACGATTATATTTATGCTAATTTACAGTAAACCATGTTATTCTTGTGTGAATTCATTCTCAGATTGTCCTTTGTTCTCTTCAAAATGTTCCAAGTTAAGGAGTGAACCCTAAATATTGGTGCTCCAAGTAGGGAAGCCAAAGGAGAAGTACCTGTTCAAAAACCTTTTATTATGACTTATTTCTGTCCATTTCACGTATATTAGTTCATTTGGACTATCCAACCAGGTGTTATTGCCCTTCTGTTATGAAAAGAGAACCTTGCCTGGCTGGTGTGCTCAGTGGTTAGAGCGTCGGCCCACACACCATAGTGTCACAGGTTCAATTCCCAGTCAAGGTTATGTACCTGGCTTGCAGGTTCAATCCCCACTGTGGGCAGCAACCAACCGATGTTACATCTCTCCTCTCTCTCTCTTTCTCTCTCTCTCTCTCTCTCTCTCTCTCTCTCTCAAAATCAATGAGGAAAAAAATTCTCAGATGAGAATTAACAAATAAAAAAACTTGTAAGAAATAAAACTTTTAAAAAAGTGATTCATAAGGCTAGACATGTAAATGATTTATTATGCAGGGTTTCTTGATTGAAATGTCACTCAAATCTGAGTCATCTTACTCCTAAACCAGTAGATACAAACAGTGCCTAGAAGAGTGCGTTATACTATCTGGAAACATTTAATAAATATATCAGAACACTAATTTGATAAGATTTATGTACCCCTATATTCATTGCAGCATTACTTACAATAACCAGGATATGGAAGCAACGTAAGTGCCCATCAATAGTTTGATAAAGAAGATGTGGTATGTACATACAATGGAATATTACTCTGTAATAAAAAAAACAATGAAATCTTACCATTTGGGACATGGATGAACCAGAGAGTATTATGCTAAGTAAACTAAGTCAGACAGAGAAAGACAAATACCATATTTCACTTATATGGCAAATCTAAAGAACAAATAAATGAACAAACAAAACAGAAACAAACTCATAGATACAGAGAACGAACAGGGTTGCCAGGCGGGAGGAGGTTTGCGGGGCTGGGTAGAAAAGGTGAGAGGATTAAGAAGTACAAATTGGTAGTTACAAAATAGTCAAAGGGATGTAAAGTACAGCACAGGGAATATAGTGAATAATATTATAATAACTGTATAGTGCCAGGTGGGTACTAGATTTATCAGGGGATCACTTCACAAGCTATATAAATGTCTAACCACTATGTTGTACACCTGGAACTAATATAAAATAATATTAGCTCTAACTGGATTGGCTCAGTGGATAGAGTGTCAGCCTGCAGACTGAGGGGTCCCAGGTTCGATTCTGGTCAGGGGCATGTACCTTGTTTGTGGGCACACCCCCAGTGTGGGGTGTGCAGGAGGCAGCTGATTGATGTTTCTCTCTCATCAATATTTCTAGCTCTCTATCCCTCTCCCTTCCTCTCTGTAAAAAATCAATAAAATATATTTTAAAAAATAAAATATTAAATGTCAACTCAGACAAAAAATAAAATGTAATTTTTCAGAATTCAGTTTTTAAAAGAATATGTATCATGTACATATGCAATGGAATATTATTCAGCAACAAAAAAGAATGAAATCTTGACACAACAGCATGGATGAACCTATCGTTTATTATGTTAAGTAAAATAAGTCAGACAGGAAGACAACTACCATGTGATTTTATTTAAATGTAGAATCTAATAAAAAATAAAATAAACAGAACAGAAACAGAGCCACAAATACAGAGAACAAACTGATGCTTGTAAAGGGGATTAAAGTGGGGGATAGTAAAAATTTATCATAGTGTCTAAAACATAGTAAGTACTCTAAAAACATTATCTGTCACTATACACTCATTTAGTGAGGATTGCTTCAATATTTACTGTGAAGCATTCAAATGATGTATGATACAAGTAAATTAACATTTGTTAAGCACAATCTGTGTCAGTTATAATGTTGTATACTTTACAGATTTTGGTAAGGGAAATAATCCGTATATTTTAGATGACAAGTCTGAAGGCATAGGTTTTAATTAATTTAATCCAAGTCATATATCTCATTAACTCTGGTTGAATAAGATGATAATATGGCATCACAATATAGAAAAGAATCTGGTCCTAGACCAAGATAGCTAGACTTCATTTTCCTGGGCTTGGATATTCTTGATTAATGATGAATATTAATTGTAGCCCTGGCCGGTGTGGCTCAGTTGGTTCAATGTCATCCCATACACGGAGAGGCTGCTGGTTTGAGTCCCAGTCAGGGCACATGTCTGGGTGTAGGGCTGGCTCCCCCATAGGGGGCATGCAGGAGGCAGGCAAGCAATATTTCACTCTCACATTGATGTTTCTCTCTCCCTTTCCCTTCCTCTCTCTCTAAAAATCAATTAGAAATCTTTTAAAAAATGAATTGTAGTTAGATGTAAAGAAGGAGTACTCACTGTTTACGTTGAGAGTGAAGGTAGAGCTGAAGTTACAAAGCTATTACAAAAATAGGAAGATTAACAGGTTGGGATAGATTTAAATCAAGAGCCTGCCGCATCTGGAACACTAAGTAAGAGTTTATTGTATTAATTTGGGTATAAGGCAGTAATTTCTTAATTTGGGAGAAGCAGGACCACAGATCTCTTTGAGAATTTAGTAAAAGCCATAGACTATATCCTCACAGAGACCTGTACATATATACATATAAAATTTTGTGGAATTCAGGAGCCCTTCCTTTATACCAGAAGATATATAATGTCTAGTTGACTTACTTTTACTAATGCTAATATTAATTAGAGGTTCAAGAGGCATCTGCTCTCTTTATTATCAATCTTTTACCCAATGGTTTTGTTAATCATAAATATTATTCATTATTTTATAAGTGGTTGCAAAAAAGTTATTTTTCAATTCTGTCATCCCTTATGTATCAATTATTTTGTTATTCAGACATGTACTATGTATCATATTTCAGGATATAGTGATTCTTTCCTTTTATTTATTGAACTATTGACTTGGTCCTCTAGAATCTCCAAAAGTAACCAACAAGATTTCCTTTTTTCTTTTTTTAGGCTTTACTTTTAAGTACCATTTTGAACTCATGGATTTTTATGTAGTTTACGTTTTTCAATCCATTGCAATTATTATTCTTTTTAGGCTCACATAATCTCATCTTAATTCAATGAGAACTCCCTTCAGGTTGACTTTCGACCTGATCCCATTTATCTCTGGTAGCTCCCTTGATCTCTGACCCAAGGAGATGTCCCAAGTCTAATTCATACACTTCTGCTTTAGATATTTCTCAAGGATCCTTGGTTCCTTTTAGAAAGGAATGGTTTATAGATACCACAATCTGGGTGCTTGGCATACCAATTGCTACTAGGTTGTCATTGCTTCTAGGCTTTCTAGGAAGGAATTTTTAAAAAATAAATAAATTATGAATTCATAATGTATTTTCAATTCAAATTTAAGATTACATTTTGCTTAATTGTATTATTATGGACTGAATTGTGTTCCCCCAAAATTCATTTACGTTGTGGTGGTATTTGGAGATAAGACCTTTGGGAAGTAATTAGGGTTAAATGAGGTCATAAGGGTGGGGCCCTAATCCAATGAGATTGGTGTCTGTATAAAAGAAGAGGAGACACCAGCATCAGGCGCTCTCTTTCCATTCAGCCCCCAATCTCTTCAGCCTTTATTCTGTCTTCCACACTCCTACCAGAATGATCTTGAAAGCTAGCAAAACTATTCATATTTTCCAAAGGCTCCCCATTACTTAGATGAAAAAGTGAGGTCCTTGATGAGAAATGCCTCCTGGAGTAGAGGACTGTCTTTGTCCAGCTTCAATCCCTGCCACTC